CTCCTCCAGGAAGCGGCGCTCCTCGGCGCGCAGGCTGCAGCGCAGGGCGGACACGAGCGCCTCGCGCTGCGCCACCTCCTGCCGCAGCTCCGCGTTGGCCGCGGTCCGCGCCGCCAGCTGCGACTCCAGCGCGCGGCACTTGCTCTCTAGCTCCCGGGATGCCGCCTCTGGAACCGGAAGACAGAGGCAAGAGATGACGGATCCAGCCTGGTTTAGAACACGGCGTGAGTGCACAGCGCAGCGGCTTCTGCAACCATGCCCCGCTCCTCTCCACCTCCCCAACTATGCCCCCTCATTCCCCGCGCAGGCTGCAGCTGCCTTCCTTCCTCATTCCCAGGACCCTTACACCTGTCGTCTCCTCTGCTTGACCTCTTATTCTTCAGGTTTCAGTTTACAGACAAACCCCTTCCTGCCACAAATCTCACAGATAATCTGTTGACCTGACTCTGTGCACTGTGTCAGGCACTGGGTATCCCCTGTGGGGGAATTGTAGATGATAAAACACTTCAAGATGTGTAAGCAGAGTGTGAGAGGACAGTAAGTAATCATAAATAAATGTGAAGTTGCAACTGACATGTGCTGAAATACGTAACTCAGCGCAGGAGGGTAACTGCGTAACTGCAGCAGGAGGGTGTGCCCCAGTCTGTGAAGGCTTCCACGGTAAGATAAGCTTGGCAGGATCTGAGGGACCAACAGGACTAAAGTAGTAATGAGGGGAAAAAGAACGCCGCAGACACAGGGAACAGCTTGTGCATGCCTTGAGGCGGGAAGACATGGCAAGAGCAGGGGACTGAAAGAGTTGGCAGTGTTCACAGGAAGGAGGGGACAATGTCCCTGTCTCCTTCACAGAACATGGACCACATTTTGTGATGTTTCCTTTACTCCTATATTGTTTATCTTTGCCATTGCTGTTAGTTTTAACTCTGGAGAGGCATTGGAACCACCCAGAAACCGTTAAGAAACATTGTTTCTTGGGCCCTACCAAGACCAATAGAATCAGAACCTGTGGGGTTGGAATGGGAGTTGATAACTGAAATCTTTCTAGGTGATTCTGAAGTGCTGCCAGAGTTGAGGCCTCTGCTTCCTGGATCAGAAGTGCCATTTCAGCAAAAAATGGGACTTGGCACACGTGAGTGAGTGCAGGAACACAGAGAGCCGAAAAGAGGCAAAGGTGACCCTGGAAGGGACGTGGACATCACCAAGAGATAGGAGCACAAAGAAAGCCCATTGAGAGGCAAGATTAAAAAAAAAAATACAGGACACTGGGGCAGTGGCTGGGGCCCAGGTGACCCTAAAAGTCTTTTTGGAGGAAGTACAGTACATGAGATGAAAGCTGCTGCTGTCACAGAATTGTCCTACTCTGGTGTCTGGGATATGGGCCCTTTCCTCCAAGCACCTAGGCACTAAGGTGCCTATGGCTGCCACCTAAAGAAGTGGGCAGAATTTGTTCAAGTCCTTAACTGTTTAGATGTCCCCAAGTAATTTATAGAGGTCCTAACATCTTAGCTTAAGCTTCCCACCTTCCCTGTACCCAGCTCTTGGTCATGTAACCCTTGATCTATAATCAGTATTGCAGGGAGTTTGTTCTGAAGAACTCTCCTGGCAGAAATGGCAGAGGGTGTTGGAGAAGTCCAACCCGGTAGGGCCCAGGATCTGTCTTGAGCATTTTGACCTATACCTCTTAGATCGGGCAGCACGTTGGCAAGGCCGCTGCTGTGTTACCCCCCTCCCCCGACCTAGGAATAACACTTAGGTCAAATTAGCGTGTCAGCAAGGCTGCTTGCTATTTGCTCCAGAAAACTGGTAGCCTTGCTGGGAAGCGAGTCAACCCACCCCCGCCGAGGCTGTACCCCGGCAGGGTGTGGTGGTTAAAGCGCTGGACTCCCACATGGCAAACCATGGTTTGAGTCTTGGACCTGGTGGTTTGCTTGCTCACATTCCCCCCCCTCTATTTCTAGTCAAGTTAAAAAAATAATAATAATAATAAATACATTTAATAATAAAAAGAACCCTCTTGGCAAGAAAAACCTTTATTAGAATTATTTTATTTAACTTTATTTATTTTAATTTGACCAGAGAGGCAGAGAGAGAGAGAGAGAGAGAGAGAGAGAATGAGAAAGCAAGCCACCAGATCTGGGACTTAAACCATGGTCAGCCATGTGGGAGTCCAGTGCCCTTAACCACCACACCACTTGCTGACCCCGAAAAACTTTTTTTTTTTAAGAGGTTTTTGCTTTAGGGTGTGTGCGCTTGCTGGAGAGAGAGAAAGACAGAGACAGTGAGAGGGAAGTAAGAAATTACCTCCCCCCACAAAGGGGATGGCCATGCCGCAATCCCTTTTTCAGTTTCTTCCTGGGGTCTTGGATATGCATGCATACACATTTGGCATGATTTTCAAGCCATGGGTCCAAGACTCAAACCACAGTCGGCTGTAACCATTATGCCATCTGTTGGCCTCAAAACTATTCATTCTTTTATTTATTTATTGGAGAGGTTTTTGCTATAGGGCGCGTGCGCTTGCCAGAAAGACAGAGAGAGACAGAGAGACAGAAAACAAGAAATCACCCCCCAGAGGGGATGGCCACACGGCGATCCCTTCTCCATTTTCCTCTCGGGATCTTGGGCACGCACACACATGCGCATGACATGAGTTTAAGCCACCGGGTCTGGGACTACAAACTGCGGTCTGCTACATGGGAGTTCAGCGACATAGCCATTACGCTAACTGCTGGTCCCCAAACTATTCATTCTTAATTAAGTGGTTACTGAGTCCCTCTCTATGTCATGTGATGTGCCTTATTTTCTGGAGCCAATGGATAACACCTGGTCCTAATTCTTAGCGATCCTATTATCTGGTGATTAAGATCTTATGCAATTCTCATGGGGCCAGCAGTTAGTGTAATGGCTATGTCCCTGGACTCCCATGTAACCGACCGTGGTTCGCCTCCCGGACCCAGTGGCTTAAAACTCACACCGGGCGCGTGTGTGTGCGTGCCCAAAATCCTGAGAGGAGAATGGAGGAGAAGGGATTGTGGCATGGCCATCCCCCCTGGGGGGTGATTTCTCACTTTCTGTCTCTGTTTCTCTCTGTCTGTCTGGCGAGTGCATGCGCCCTATAGCAAAAAAAACTCTCAAAAAAAAAAAAAAAGATCTTATGCAATTCTCTCTCAGAAACATTTTTTTTTAAATTGTAAGACACATGAGATTTACAATCTTAACCATTTTAAGTGTATAGTCCAATAGTGTTAAGTATATTCATGATGGTGTGCAACAGACCTCTAGAAATTTTTTGCAAAATTATAAGTCTCTTCCCTTTGGAATGCCATCTCCCTATCTCCACCATTTTATGAAAGTAATACTCTGAAACAAATTTTTATTTTTTGCACATTTTTTTGAGAGTTTTTCGCTATAGGGCACATGCACTCGCCAGAAAGACAGAGAGAGACTGAAAGTGAGAAATCACCCCCCAGGAGGGATGGCCATGCTGCAATCCCTCCTCCTCCATTCTCCTCTCGGGATCTTGGGCACGTACATACACGCGCCTGGTGTGAGTCTACACCACTGGGTCCAGGACTTGAACCATGGTCGACTACATGGTAGTCCAGCAACATAGCCCTTACACCAACTGCTGGTCCCTGAAACAAATATTTTAATAGAATTGCTAAAATGGCAAGAAGTCACGCTTTGTAAAAGGAAGTGTTTGTTAATGTGCATTTCTCTTTTCTCCTCATTTAGACTAAGTTCCTTAAAGTCAAGGACCACCCCTTAGGACCAGCAGATGGTGTAATGCTTATGTTGCCGGACTCCCATGTAGTTAACCTGTGATTCGAGTTCTGGACCCAGCGGCTTAAAACTCACACCAGGCACATGGTGTGTGTGTGCCCAGGGTCTCAAGAGGAGAATGGAGGAGAAGGGATTGCGGTGTGTGGCCACCCTCCCTGGGTGGTGATTTCTCACTTTTTGTCTCTCTGGCAAGTGCACACACCCTATAGCAACAATCTCTCCAAAAAAAATAGATACATAGAACACACCCATAAAAAAAAATTCCCCTCTCCAAAAAAAAAAAAAAAAAAAAAAAAGGAAAAGAAAAAAGCCAAGGACCTCTATTCCATTGTGTTACATCACGACACTCAGCATCTTGAGGGGGGAGAACACTGACCATGTGATCACTTGTACAAGGATGGAAAGAGACTGCAGAAGTCCAGAAAGGAATTCAGTGGGCCCAGTGGAAGTAAAACCACATGGCCGGCTCCTTCCTGCGTTCCTTTTTCTGCTTTGGACAAAGACACGTTAGAGAGGACTATGTGTGGGCGTGCAGGTTGTTCCCCCCACAGGCCACCTAACAGAACAAGTATGTGTGGCTGACACTCTACACTGCTCACCAAGCCAAGGAGTGGCTGTCTCCAAGTCTAGTCTGGGGACAGGGAAGGCAGGGTCCTTCTAAGGGTTGGGGGAAACTGGACCTGTGGGCCCCATGTACTTCCCCACCAGCACCCTTCTCTTACCTTGCTGGTGAGATTGGGCCTCTCTCATCTCCAGGTCATGGGTCAGTTCTGGTCAGGAGAGAAAAGACAAGACAGTTCCATGTGTGAGTATATGTGTGTGTGTGTGTATGAGAGTAAGCAAGAGAGACAGCTACGAGGGAATTGCGGCTCAGAAGCAGCAATAAAGATCCTTAGAAACCATCTAAACCACCCCCTATAGATGCTATTTTACAGCAGCCCAGCAAAGAGAAGAAATGAGATGCGCCCATAACATAGCCTGAACCTGGTTGGCTTGACTCTAAGCTCAGACGTCGGTGTAGTGCAGAGATCAAACCAGCTCTGTGCCTGCTTTGGGGGTTAGTTCAACCCTTGGTGAACTCAGAGGCCTGGGAGAGTGTTTGCCCCTTCCTAAGGGTGATATGTCAACCAATCAGAGCAGTTCTGGAAGATCCGAGCCGCACAGAGATTTGACCCTTTCGTGTCAAGAGCTGCTTGGGGGTTCTGGGGATGTGCTTAAGGCAGTGGCTGTTTGTCAGCCTGAACACACACAGTTCCCTGTGTAACAGCCAGTTCTGCGTGCCTATGCCAGGATCTGAACACCAGCACTGCCCTCCCTAGACCAGGTCTGCCATATTCCACTTGGCAGCGAGAGGGGCTTTGGGAGGACAGCGCCACCTAGTGATGGAAACCTGCACTGGAGGGCTTGTTGCTAAGGGGGCGGGGCAGCCAAGAAGGCTCCCTGCTCCGGAGGGTGTTGTGACCCGGCCACCAGCCCTTTGCCTGCCTGAGTGCCCTAAATGCCCCATTTCCCAGCCCAGCTGAGTCTGATTGTTTTTCCAGTCCCATCTTCACTTCCACATCTCTACCAGGGCTGAAGAACCAGGGAAAGGGCACAAGGAAGCTGCCTGTGATAGGGGAGACCTACTCAGGAGCTCCTGCGTGTACCCGCAGAAACGCAGTCCAGTGCCTGAAGGGAGAAGCACCTGGAGGAGGGGTAGGTGCACATCGCTGGGACCACGGCCCTGCAGCTACAGAAACTAGCCTGTGACTTCTCTGCCCTCCCCTCCTTGCTGGGCTCTTCTGGAGACCAGGGGCTTTGCTAGAGGTGCCTTCCCTGGGGAGGCCAAGTGCTGCTAGGAGACATAGTGCAGGGTGCCTGGGCCTTCTGCTGTGACCGGAGCCTGAACCTCTTCCCTGGGGCCCTACTGAGGACTCTGATGCCTCCATCTACCAGGGCTTCCTGGGACCAACTTGGCCCCTCCTCCAAAGCCTTGCAGTATAACCCATGGGACCCTGGACTAGGTTCAGGGTCAGCCCAAGAGACCTTGGCTCTGCCACTACGTCCCTGAGGGCCGGTTTCCCTGCAGCTTTTAACCTTGGAACTTGGCTTTCCAGAATCCCAGCTGCATGCCGACCTGGCCCACCTTCTGGCCAGGGCCCTGGCAGTTTAGATAAGCATGCTGTGAGGTCTGATAAACTGTGTGACCCTGCACTAGTATTGGTGATTATTGTTGTAATTGAGATCTTTGCTATAGGGCACTTGTGCTCCTGTGCTGTCAGAGAGCCAGAGAGAGACAGAAAGTGAGAAATCTCCACCCCTTAAAAAAAAGAAAGTGAGAAATCCCCCCCAAGAGGATGGCCACACTGCAATCCCTCCTCCTTCATTCTCCTCTTGGGATTTTGGGCACACATGCACATGTGCCCGGTGTGAGTTTTAAGCTGCCAGATCTGGGACTCA